CCATCGCTAGCTTCCATGTGTTAGGATATCATTTACATGGTTTTAAACTGTTTTCATAGACCAAAACAGGTTGTGGTTTAAACAAGATAGATGCTTATTTCTTAAATAAAAGTATAAGACGGTATACGGGAGCACAGAGCAGCTCTGTTCTATAAGGTGCTCTCTAGTTCCTGTGCTTCTGACATTTAGTGTATTATCCTTGTTCAGACTTTTTGTTTTTTTTTCCTTATAAATGACTTGGCACAATTCCTGTGGATCCAAAGAATATTTTCCCTTAACTCTAACGTCAAGTAGTTCTACACTATTTACCACTTCTAGGTATATAGTACATGCCTTTTCAATACCTGTATTTAAGTGTTTTCTTATTTCAGTAAGATCCCTCTCCATGACTTTGATTATGCCTTTGAATCTTGTTTGCATATTACCTTTGTTCCATATTTATCTGAAACCATTGTTACCTCTTTATTTTGGCTTGATTCTCTATAATTTTATCCTTGCCATCCCCTGTTTTCCTTTTGGTGTTTTCCATTTCTGTTCTCTCTTGTGTTCCTTTTCCTAAAATATGTTTTCTATAATTATTCTCTAATTCTCTCACGTTAGTCTCATGTACCTCTGTTGTCTAATAGCTTCATTTCCTTAAAATTTTTTTTAATAAAGTATAACATACACACACATGCCTACATCCATACGTAAAAGTACATAAATCCTAAGGATATAGCATAATGAATTGTCACAAAGTGAACATACCCACGTAACCACTACCCAGGTCTAGAAATAGAAAATTAGTAGGGGCGCCTGGGTGGCGCAGTCGGTTAAGCGTCCGACTTCAGCCAGGTCACGATCTCGCGGTCCGTGAGTTCGAGCCCCGCGTCAGGCTCTGGGCTGATGGCTCGGAGCCTGGAGCCTGTTTCTGATTCTGTGTCTCCCTCTCTCTCTGCCCCTCCCCCGTTCATGCTCTGTCTCTCTCTGTCCCAAAAATAAATAAACGTTGAAAAAAAAAATTAAAAAAAAAAAAAAAAAGAAAATTATCAGTATCCAAGTAGCTCTCTCCTTAGAAATCTTTCTAATCATTAGCTCCTCCTTTGGTCCCAAAGGCAACTGCTAATGTTAGCTCTAACACCATAGACTAATTTTGCCTGTTTAAAAACTTCATTTAAATGGCATCTTAGAGTATCTTATTTTGATCAAAATTATATTTTTAAGATTAACTCATGTGGCCAGGTATAGATGTAGTTCATTTTCATTGCTGTTTTGCGTTCAGTTGTGGGAATATACCACAATTTATCTATTCTTTATAAATGGTCTTTGGATTATTTCTAACTTTTGGCTATTGTGGCATAATGAGATTTTGCTCAGGAGTTACTGATTCTGTGGCTGCTACCTCCATAGGAAGAGTAGATCTCCCTGCCCTATTCATGTTGTACTTGGCCTGCATCACATTTATAAATTCTTGTTTCGTACTCACTGTGCTTTCTGGGGTCAGCTCCCTCTGGGCCCCATTCTCCCTTCTGCCTGAATGTTGTCTCTCCCTCACCCTGGGTGTTCTTGTCTCATTCAATTTAGACTCTCATTCAAGCAGCTTATTTTCACAGTGAGGCTCTACCATTCCAGATAGAATTATTTGCTATTTATCTCTGACATTGTTAAGGGTTTAAACCTGTATGGTCCAATACGGTAGCCACTAGCCACAGTTAGCTACGGGGCACTTGAAATGCAGCTAGTCTGAATTTAGGTGTGTTGTTAAAGCTTGGATGTTTTGGGGCGCCTGGGTGGCTCAGTCACGGTTGAGCATCCAACTCTTGATTTTGGCTCAGGTCATGATCTCACAGTTCATGAGTTCCAGCAGGGCGTCGGGCTCCATGCTGACAGTGTGGAGCCTGCTTGGGATTCTCTCTCTCCCTTGCCCTCTGCCCCTCCCCTGCTTGTGCTCTCTCTCTCTCTCCCTCTCTCCAAATAAATAAATAAATAAATAAATAAATAAATAAATAAATAAACTTTAGGGGTGCCTGGGTGGCTCAGCAGGTTAAGCATCTGACTTTGGCTCAGGTCATGATCTCACGGTCCGTGAGTTCGAGCCCTGCGTCGGGCTCTGTGCTGACAGCCCGGAGCCTGGAGCCTGCTTCGGATTCTGTGTCCGCCCCGCCGCCTCAGTGCCCCTCCCTTAACTGTGCTCTCCATCTCTCTTAAAAATAAATGCATAAACATTAAAAAAAATTAAAAACCACGTTTCCTTGAAAAAAATAAAGATTTGATATTTAAAAAATGTAAAATGTTATTCATAATTTTTTATGTTGAATCATAGTGTTTTGGATCTAGTGGGTTTAAACAAAGTATATCATGAAAATTTCCCTTCTGCTTTTTTAAATGCAGCTGCTATAAAATTTAGCATAATGCACATATCGCCCACCTCCTATTTCTGTTGGTTTAAAGGGTCATGGTATTGTATTTGTACCTCTTAGTGAATTCACTGTTTTCTATTTATCCCCGACTGAATGACTTCAGCATATGAAGGCATTCCCGGTTTCACCAGCTGCCCTCTGACGCCTCCATGGAGGCTAGGGTCTGCTGCTTTGGGGCGCGACTGCCTGCTATTCCACAGTTTCCACAGCACACCTGCTGATCCTGGGTCAGTCCTGATGCTGCAAGACTCCTGGGGATTCCCTGTCGCCCACTTTTGATGAGGACGTTGTCTGTGGGTTTTCCCCTTTCCCATATCTGGTTGGTCTGTCTGCTTTCAGGAGGAGTACTGGGGAGTTTCAGAAACTCCACCATGATCCACCTCGTCCACAAGTCCTAATTCTCTTTTAATACAAATGTGTTCCCCTGTTAGGATAACTCTGATTTACTTCCAGTAATCTTAATTTTGTCATCTGAAGTTTGAAAAATCATGCTGTGAAATGACCAGAGATTTTTGCCTAGTTACATACATTAAAAATTATAAAGAACCTTTGCGTTTTGTCGAACTAGTGATGGGTCCGGACGTTGGGAGAGACCCAGTTTTTAGTATCCTTTTTTTCCCCTGTTTTGCTCAGATCATGTAATAAATTACTCAGTTTTAATGTAACAGTTAACATTTTCTGAATGAGGGATGTGATACCTATTTCTGTAACTTTAAAAGATACTTTTTTCGATTATAAAAATAATGCATGCTTACTATAGACAATTTGGAAAATGTAGAAACCTGTAAAGACAGACTTAGAACTTACACAGAACCCTAACATCTAGAGATCATTAGTAACATGATAGCATATTACTTCCCAGGTTTTTACTTTTTTCACAAGTATAATTGGACCACAGACACACCAAGAGTACATTTGGCTGAGGGACAACTGAATGAGTCTTAATATTAGTATGTGGCTGAATATCATGATCACAGAATGAAGTTCTGGGATATAAGAATGAAACTAAAATGCAGAACTCTGTTAAAGTTATGTTGTTCCAAAGATTAGTAACAGATACTGTTATAAAGATTAGTAACAGACCTACCGTGTTTGGCATTGTAGTGCCAGAACAATAATTTCCTAATCCTGTGAGGTACTAGCTTGCTCTTGAGGTCTCTGTAGTGTATGTTTACACAACCGAATTAGGTGTGTGTTTCCAGCTGAGTTCAGTGACTCTGAGACATCTTGGTAGTGCCTTGTTTTTCTTGAATACTTCTTTTTATGTCCCCTGTTCTCTGTTACGTGTTCTTTTCTTCCTTATGAAATCCTGGAATGCCAAATTAATGTTGTTCCATAATCCATCTTCAGGAGGTAGAATGAATTCCCAAATGAGACTTGTTTTGTGACAGATTCGTGACCTACATGGAATTAAATAACTAAAAACTAAAACAAGTCTTGACCATCATTTCTTTAGTGTAATGAATACTATGATACCAAACTTAATTATGATGTAATCCAGTCCCCATTATTCTGCTTGTATTGTTATTAAATTTTTTGTAAATAATTGTTGTCCTAAAAAGTACACGCTCATGTCCCTAAAATTATGTAGCTAATATGCTCTCTTGTTCTTGTGTTGACTGTTAGTCTATTTTCTACTTCACATTTGAGATTTCTCAATTGCTTTTATTCAATAATCAGTAACTTCCAAAATCATCATTAAAGCAGTATTTTACTCTTAGAATAATTAATATACGTTTATACTTTGACTGACTTTTCTCAAATAATGGAATAAGGGAGGGGTCCGTTACTCTGGGGATGGGTTTCTCAACCTGTGAACTTTTGAGATTTCCACCGGATAATTCTTTGTTGTGGGGACCTGCCCTTGCATTATAGGATGTTTAGCAGTACCTCTGGCCTTTACCCGCTAGATGCCAGTAGCAAATCCTGCCCGCCTCTGCCTTCTCCACCAGGCAAAACCGCCCGGGCTCAGAACCACCACTGCTCTGGGAGAATGATTTGTAGTTTAACCGAGGTAGTTTTTTCTTTTTATTCAAGAACGAACTCTCTGGACTTTTGTTGTGTTTGATTTTTTGTTTTTGCCTAGGAATAAATACCGAGCTGTCTTTCTCTTTGTCTACTCAGGGGTAGAAGTAGGGGAGGAGGTGCTACTTTATAAAATGGATTCATTAGTCTTATTTTTGCCTTCCTTCTTACTCCTTCCTTTCTACTGTTCCGAGCTCTCTACTTCCCCTGGGAATCTGAATTCTGTCTCCAGCTCATTCATCTCTTGGAGTGTCCTAGGCTGTGGTCTCCTCTGCTGCCTCCATCTGTCTATGTGCTTCCATCCATTTTATGGTTTCTAGAAGCAGAAATCTCTCACCCACTGATGATCTTCCTTCCCATTCCGCCTGTTGTTATAGGCTTATCGCGTTTTAAGGGCATCCTGAGACACAAGAATGGGAAGCAGACGCTTCCAGTTGGTGTGACCTCTATCCACAAGCTGCCCAGTGATTTAAAATAGAAAACACTGGTAAAGGCGTGTTTCTTCTTCACTCAACAAATAGATATAAGTGGCATGTGCTGCCTTTTCCCATTTCCTCCCACCCTTTTCTTTTCTAGAGCTCATTATCCTGGGACCCGAACGGTGAGGGATGCGAGGTTGACCAAGAAGAAGCTTTGGTCTTCTGAGGATTTTAGCACTTTAAATAACGATGTGGGTGCAGGCTGCTTGGGTCGCATATTGAATCAGAATTACATCAATGGCTACATGACTGCGTAAGTTATTGAAAACTGTTAAAGGTTTTTACTTTGAAAAATTTCAAAAACACAATAGGTAGAAGGAGAGTACAGTGGGCTTCCTATTTCACAGCCTAGATTCAGTGGTTGTAAACAGCAGTTTCATCTATACCTACATGTACACCTAAGCTTGTGATTTTTTTTTTTATATTTAAATATTGTCAATATGTATCCGACAAAGTCAGACTTACTGAGATGTAATTGACAGTAAGATTCACGCAGTTCTATGGTTTTTGGCAAGCCACGTATACATTTTAATGAACAATTATAAACTGCATACGTCATCACCCTTCACCCCTAAATATTTTAGCATGTGGCAATACCTGGGTCCAGAGCTTCCCTGAAATCCACAGAGTCACACTTTCAGGGTTCAGTACCAACCACTGATCGACATCTGAAGGAGTGGGCAAGCTTCCATCGGCACTTGCAGACGGGACGGAGTCCTAGTAGCGCTACAGCTGAGACCTTGTTCCGTACGCTTCGGATGCGTTAGTAGAGTGACTCCTCACAACGATCTCGTGGGCTAGGCACACTTACTATCCTCATCTTACACATGAGGAAACTGAGGTCCAGAGAGGGTGAGTGGTGGAACCATGGTTTGAACTCAGGCAGTCCGACTCTAAGCATTCTCAATCGTAAAACTCTGTAGCAGCTCAGAGTCAAGTTCAGAAAATTATAGCTTGAAACTGAGGCATTAAGAAGGCTGATTGTCAAAAGGAAAACAGGTATGGACAAAGCCTTTATTTGTATTTGACTCAAATTTGTGACATGTCTCGTGCTGATAAGGTGTGATTCATCTTCTGGCTGCACGACTGTTCAGTAAGAATCATACACCCAAAATACACTTATGTTGTTTAATTATGTGATTCACCTTGAAAAATACCTAGATGGATCCAACACTGGATTTTTCACAATGTGAATGAATTTAGGTGACTTCTGTTTTCTTATTTTGGGTGGTCATTTTTTGGTTCTTTACATAGATTTATATAAATTCTGATAAGGTGTTTTTACTACAGTCTTCTAGACCTTTACATTTTGATCACAAGCTCTTTTGGTATTTCTCTTTTATCAAACAAACTTTTCAGCACAATTGCTTGGAATTTGGTGGCGAGTTACTATGAACAGTTGCCTTATGGACGATGTGGGTTGATGACTGCTCAGGAGCCGTGGAGCGGGCACTATGCTGTAGAACCCCCCATCTGGGTCACAGGTATGGTTCAGGTTCCATTTCTTCCTTCCCACATTTCTCTCGAGGAGACAAAGCAGGAGACGAGAGTATATAAACTGTGTATGGGGGCATGGAATATTGCTCAGTACATTTTCAGGGCCAGCTTTGGAGGTACCCAGTAAATACATATTGTGCAAATAAAACTTGCTTGAAACCATAAAGCTGATTAGTTTTTGAAATGCACTATTAATTTTTTAACCTTATTTTTTGTAGTTGTATTACGATGGGTTAAATAGAGGTGAACAAAAATTCAGAAAGGATAACTTTATCTTACTCTTGGAAAAAAAGACTTAATCAGTATTCTCAAATTGACAGTGTGGTTCATTTATTATTACCAGTAACTCTAACTACAGTTATTCTTACTACAATTGTACCATTTAACTGGACTAATTAGTCAAACGTTGAAACGTGAGATTGGCAAGTATTTTCATCTAAAATAGTAAATAGCTTGTTAGACTCAATCAGACTCAAGTCAGTAGACAGCTTTATTTATTTATTCATTTACTTTTATTTAATTAAAAATTTTTTTAATGTTTATTTTTGAGAGAGAGACAGAGACACACAGCACGAGCAGGGGAGGGACAGAGAGAGAGGGGGCACAGAATCGGAAGCAGGCTCCAGGCTCTGAGCTTTCAACACGGAGCCCAAAGCGGGGCTCAAACTCTCAAACTGCAAGATCGTGACCTGAGCCAAAGTCAGAGGCTTAACCGACTCAGCCACCCAGGTGCCCCTATTCTTTATTTTTTTAAAGAAACCCTTTTATCACTGTTTGTGTCTTACTGGGTCTTTTTCTGCTTTACTGTAGCCCATACCACTCAGTTTACTCAGCCAGGTTGGTATTACCTGAAGACAGTTGGTCACTTAGAGAAAGGAGGAAGCTACGTGGCTCTGACTGATGGCTTAGGTAACCTCACCATCATCGTTGAAACTATGGTAATTCTTTGTTGTTTTTATGAGATTAACTGTCTTCGTATTGGAAAAAACAGTATAAAACACAACTAAACACCTTTAAAAACAAAAAACAAAAACCCAGCTTTACCGAAGTGTAATTCATATGTGATAAACAACATGTAGGTGAAGAAGAAACTTCTTCCTATACCGTCTTAGGTTCAGAAGCTGGGACCCCAAAAATTAAACTGATGAACCCCCACAGAGTAACAAGAGGAAAGAAAACAGTTTATTTGTGCATGCACCTTGCATACGTGTGCGGGATACTCTGATGAGTAACTAGGAGGGGTGGTCAGAGTTTGGGCTTGTATTCCTAGATTAGTAAGTAATGGATAGGGGACGAAAGGACACTTAATGGAAAATAAGTGCCTTTTTGGAAAGATAAATGGGTTTTCTGGAGAGCAAGCAGGAATGACTGTGGTACTGTTTGTCTGTACCAGACCACGGCCTTCCCCCTGCCTTTAGGGCTGTAAAAGTCCTCTATGGAAGGGACTTGGGGTAGGTTTTATTCCCATTCCTCCTCTTTGGGAGTAGATCCACCCTGAAGAGGAATTTTTGGCAGCCTTATTTCCCAGGGGAAAATAAGCTTTAGTAAGAGCTTTGCTTTTAGTAAGCTAAGGGAAGCTCAGAGAAGACTTTTTTCTGGCATCTTTTGAATCTCAAATACTTTCAACTTTAAATAATCTTTATACCACAGTGGCATAGTTTATGGTGGCATAATCTGATCCCCTTCAAACACATACTTAAAATGCACAGTTTTACAAGTTTTGATATGTAAATGACCAGTAAGCCATTGTCACAATCAAGATAGAGAACGTGTCCATCAGCGCCCCAAAAGAATACTCGTATCACTTTATAAATATTCCCTCTGTCCTGCGACTTCCCTGATCATTGCTTTTTGTCACTATAGATTAGTTTGCATTTTCTAGAGTCGTGTGTCAGTGGAATCATGCAGAATGTACTGTTTTTTGTCTTGCTGCTTTCACTCAGCATAATAATTTTGAGATTCATCCATGTTGTGATACCTATTGCTAAGTAGTATTCCATTGTAAGGACCTACGGTAGTTTGCTTATCTATTTATTTGTTGATGATGTTTGGCTCGTTTCTACTTTCTGGCTATTAACATAAAGCTGTGAACATTTGTGCACAAGTTTTAAATGGACATAGAGTTTTTGGGGGTAAATACATAGGAATGGAGTGGCTGGGTAATAGGAGATGTTTCTGTTTAGCTTTATAGAAAGCTGCCAAACTGTTCTCCAAAGTGATTGTATTGTTTTAAATTTCCATCCGCGTAATGGGAGTCCCAGTTTTTCTTTATCTTTGGGAATGCTTGCTGTGATCAGCTTTAAAAATGTTAGCTCTTAATAGGTATGATGTACTATTTCATTTTGGTTTTAATTTGCATTCCCCTAATGACTGATGATGTGGAGCCTTTCCTGTGCTTGTGCTTCATGTATCTTCTTTTCTTTTGCCATTTTTGTTTCTTTCTTATGGTTGAATTATATCCTTTACATATTTTGGATACAAGTCCTTTACAGATATGTGCTTTGTAAAGATATTTTCCCAGTCTATAGTTTTTCTTTTCATTTTGTTAACAGTGTCTTTGGAAGAGCAGGAGTTTTTAATTTTTACGGAGTCTGATTTATCCATTTGTACTTTCGTGGAACATGCTTCTCGTGTGGAGCTAAGAAGGTTTGCATACAGGTGCACATCTGTTCTAGTACCATTTGCTGAAAAGTCTGTTCTTTTCCCCACTGCATTGCCTTTTCACCTTTGAAAAAAAGTCAGTTGTTCATGTATAGGTGGAATTATTTCTGGACTCTATTCTGTTTCTTTGACCTAGCTATGTATCTTTACATTAGTACTGTGGTTACTCGTGTGTGTGTGTGTGTGTGTGTGTGTGTGTGTGTGTGTACAAACAATTCCTAGTAGCAGGTAGTCTTAGCCCTTCAAATTTGTTCTTTTTCAAAGTTGTTTTGTCTATTCTCGGTCGTTTGCATTTCCCTGAGAATTTTAGAATCAGCATGTCAGTTTCTACCAAAAAAAAGAAAAACAATACCCCCAAAAAACCCAAAAACCAAAAACCACATACAAAAAACAAATAAACAAACAAACAAACAAACAAACAAACAAACAAACAAACAAACCCTGCTCAGATTTTGATGGGGATTGTCTTGAATCTTCAGATCAGTTTGAGGAGAATTGATATTTTTTTTTCAATATATGAAATTTATTGTCAAATTGGTTTC